GTAAAGTAATATTGTTTAACTTTCTGCATTCTTATGTTTGCTTAGCTTAGTGAGACAACATATATAATGTGTGTGTGTGTGTGTGTGTTTACACACTTCTGTATAGCCTGAAGTGCCTGATCCTGCCCAATCTTGGAAGCTAAGCAGGGTCAGTTGTAGGTAACTTAAATACTGTGAACTACCCAAAGTGTTTCAGCGATGAATAGTATAGAAATTTAATGTCGCCATCGTCATCATCATCATCATCATCATCATCCATGGAGTTGCCAAGTAAGCAGGTGTACACACACACACACAAACCCCATTCATGTTTCTGTATGGAAGATATGCATAAATCTAACACTGATTCAGACTATTATTTTATCTATGTGTAAGCAAATTTTCATGTTGGCATCCCAGATGCCATTAACTTTTTAAGAATGTAAGAAAAGCTGTGAACCAAAGTCTAGCATTGTTGGTTCAGTTGTCATTCATAGATAGCAGGACACAAGCACAGTTTAGCACTCAGCCACTTCTGCTCATCGGGTGTATACTGCCTCTGCTATAACCATCATGACTAGCATTTTCTGATAGTCTTTTCCTCCATGACTTTGCCCAATCCCTTTTCAAAACCATTCAAATGTGGCCCTCACTACATCTTGTGGTAGCAAATTCTATCGGTTTACAATAGAAGTATTTCCTTTTATCTGTCTACTATTATGAGAACAGAAGAAAAACTATCCTATCTCCTCTACACCATGCATAATTTTGTATACCTTTATAGTGTTCTTGCTTACTCTTTTTCTAATTTAAAATATTTTCCTCTCAGGGAATTTGCTCTGTGCTTGATTATGTTGATTGTCCTTTCCCAGCTCTATATTATACTTTTCAACATACAGTGCCGAGAACTGTACACAGTATTCTAAGTATGGTTAGATTTGTATGAAGAATTATGATGTTGCCAGTTACTCTTTCCATTGATCTCAAAAGACGGACTCCCTTCCTTCACAGCACTCGCACACAGGATTCACATTTTTAGTGAGTTATCCACCATAATCCTAAATTCTCTTTCTAAGTCACCATCGGTTCAGACTACTAGTATTAGGGTTTTTTGCATCACTTTATATTTGCTTACACCGAACTAAATTTTCTATTTTAATGTCCATTTTCTCAGTTCAGAAAGATCCTTTTGGCACTTGTCACAATTTTTCTTGCTATAAGCACCCTAAATAATTTAGTTATCACCTGGAAACCTGGCCACTACATGGCTTACTTCTCATTCTCACTTATTTAGGAAAAAGTTAAAAAGCACTGGTGTTGAGAATAATCCTTGGGGGACCCATGTTTTACAACCTTTCATTGTGAAAACTGACCATTCATTAAATGCACCAGCAATAAAAATTCTCTTGGCATAAAGAACTACTTCCTGTTCTTTAACTCATAACCAGCCAATAGAAGGACCCCTTGTCTTACTCCATGCTTATTAAGGTTACTCACAGGAATCTTTGCTGAGACTTCAGGAGTCTTAGTGAATAACATCTACTAAATCACACTAAGTCTAAGCGAAGAGCATTTACTGACACTCTAAAAGGGTTACCGAAACAAGAGCTAACTATGCAGAAGCCAGAGTGACACATTTTCAGCAGAACATTCCCTTCCATATCAGAGTACAGAACCACTTTCTGCCCAAGGATGGCATTCGACTTTGGAGAAGCTTTCAGGGCCTACATTCCCATGGTTGGCAAAGACAAAAAGTCCCCTATAGTTTGTGTAATGCCCTTACAGCTACCAAAATAGGCAAAGGCTGGGAAATAACCATACAATCTGCAGTTCAGGAAATGAGGTGCCAATGGATTAGGACACTCAGAAGGCTAAATTGGAAGAGCAGAGGGTCAGATTTAGTCCTCAGACTTGAGGTTCTACACTCCTATACTAAATGTTTGAGAATTTCACCCTTAATAACTCTATAACTACTACTGGACTTTAATTTCCCAAATCCCTCCTGGATCCCTCTTTGAAAAATGACATTAGATTGGTTGCTCTTCTGTTGTCTAATGTAGAGTGCAATCTTAAGAACACATTACATATTTTGTTAAGAGATCAGCAATTTCACATCTGAGTTCTCACATCACATAGATAATACCTGGACCTTGGAATTTCTTTGTTTTCCATTTGTCAAGAAAATCTAGAACTTTATCTCTTGGCAACACTATTTGCCTCAGTTCCTCAGACTCCTTCACTGAAAATACCAATTGAGATAGGAGTATTTGTCCTATATCCTCTGTAGTGAAAACAAATGCAAATAATAAATGCAACTTATCAACAATTTGCTTAGCCTCATTCAGTCATCCTTCACCTCCTTTGTCAGTCAAGTGACTGTTCCCCTAGCTGGTTCCTGCTTCTGATCTATTTTTTTAATAGTTGACCTAGATGTTTTTTTAATAAATATGAACCTCAACAGTCTTCATTGCATCTTTATTGTCTAACTGCATTTCCTTTGTGCAAATTTACTCTCCTTGTTTGGGCAAGGCTTCTATTTTCTGAAGGAAGCTTCCTTTTCTCTGATAGCTTCTCTGATAGCTAATGTTTGTTAATCATGCTGATGATTTCTTGAACTTTATGTTACCCTTTCAGATCAGTGGAATACATTCTAGTTGAACCTGTATTACTATAGCCTTGAGTAATCGCCCAGTGTTTCGAGGAGATTTGACCCTCAGTTAGGTAACTTTCCAGTTCTGAAGTCAAGCAAGACTGTATTTCATTTCTTTGGCATTTTTTCCATTTATCTTCTTGTGAGAAGTATGACTACACTAGTTTTATTTATTTAAGAAACAAAACAAGTAAACATTTAACACTGCACTATTTGCATAAAAGAGTTTTTTTCTTTTTAAATACTTATGAATGGACCTGGCTTTGCACAGGTTAGACTAGCCCTTAGGAACCCTTCAATGAAGTTTCAAGGTTGGCAGAGTCACCCTGTATCCACTTCATCTGAGTGAGATCATGGACACATATACCAACAGAGATGGCCCCTGCCTTGGTGTGCTTCCACAGCTTCCTGAGGGATAGGTCTTTCCACTCCATTCTCCGAAGGTGGGTCTGCCCCACATGAGAAGAAAGGAGACAGACATATAACTTTTTCTGCAGACTGCTGCAGGCTTCAAACTGTATCTACTGCAAAGCTATACAGTGGTTAGGGAAGTCTCCCACCTAGTACTAGGCTTCAAACACATGGACACATGAAATTAATTAAGTAATGCATTTTAAAACTAAATTACTCAAGGAGTATACCCATGGAGTTCCTTTAGAATACTTGTCAGGTTTCAGGTTACTAGGTTTCATGGTCTTGGAAGTTTTTTGCTGATGCAAACACTCTATGTTCAAGTTTGATGAGATTTTCCAAATTCCATCTTGAAGCTCAGTTAGCTTTGTTCCTGTGCCCAAATGTCAACTTTCTTTCTTTTCTTTGGATAATTGGGAAAAGTGATTGAGAAAGTATGTGCATTTTTAAAAGTACACATTTCCCCTAATTGTAAAAAAGTTCATTTTCTTTTACAGGTTAAAGTGTGACAATGCAGATTTGCAGGAGAAATATGCATGTGAGCATTTTTGGATACAAGAAAGTTTGAAGAGAAGCAAAAATTCTCCACAAATTGTGCTTTTGTTGGCACTCACACTTGCAAATGAGATATATTTGCAAACAGGATCAACATTGTTATGCATTTTTAACACACATGCTCTCTTTTACGATGATATATTGCTCAGGTCCATGCAATTTTAAGAATCATACTTCAGTATCATTTCATGATTTATAGAGAAAATAGTGTGAAAGGCAGAGAAAAAAGAATTATGAAAACTGATAGCTAAGAGTTCATTTGTTCTAAAGAAGTTATCCATTGCATCCATATATTGTATTTTTCAGTCCTCAAAATCACAATTTTGAACAGGGCCTACTTCAGGTATGAGAACAGTGCTGGCAAGTTAGAAGATCTGCAAACCCTCTTCTGTCAGTGGGCCATCCTGGCTGTGTATACCCCAGGCAGCAGGAGCTAGATCATTCCAGAGGCTCTTTGTTTTGTCAGGCATTTTAAGAACTCTTTCTAATACTTTCACTATTTTATAAGTTAGCTTTATATGCTCAGCTAGATGCTTTTATTCTTTGCTGCTGGCTTTTACTGCTTTGATTTTACATTTGTATATTGTATTTTTAACATACTGTGGTCTGAGTGACTCCTCCAAATCAGGGTTGCCAATCAGTACTGTAAAACATCATTACTACTGGCTTGGAGAGATCACTAAAACCACAGTTTACTAGTTTGGGCATCACACCAGACTGCTTTGGGGAATCAACAAGTGTTCTGTTATGTCATATGCAAGAGAAGAGTGAGGAAGGAGCATGTGTGAACATAACCATTGCACTGAACCATGTTAGCAGAATGAGCAAATCTGAATGCAGACAATGACTAAGTTTGCATGACATGATAATTAACAAAAGATAATAGTCAATGCTTAGCTTTTGTGATGAATGAACCCACTGTAGGTTTTAGGACAGTCCTCTCCTCAAACTATCCATGATGAGAATCTATGGGCTGCTGTAGGGTTACTTGTTACCATGGTGGACTGATGTGTTATCCAAACCTAGATGATTGAGCCTTCCATGGGTAAAATGACCTATGGTCAGTGAATGGGTTGCCAAAGTTGCAAGACATTCCTTGTTTCTGCTATTAATTCAATATAGGACTGAGATAAATTATTGATGGTTGGCCTTTAAATACAAAAACATACTGAGCAGGCTCAAATTTCTTTTGGTAATTAGACACAGAACATAGTAGCTTTCACAGGATTTTAGTACTAAATAGTTATTAAAATAAAGTACACTGTCTTCTTGTAATTTCATTAATGATTGCACTTCTTTTTATTTGAAGTCATGGAAGTAATAATGTAATTGAAAAAAATATTCTTCTTTCTTCAGAATCATGATAAATATTTTTAGATTCTTTTTCCCCCAGAATATTGCTTACCTGTGACCCTTTCTTGCTACCTGGAAGATTAATTATGAGAGTTTTCCCTCTGATTCCACATACAGGTCTGAAAAGAGAGAGGCAGGGCTGAATACCAGTGCATGAGAAATATTAACATTTAACAGAATTCATTAATTAGACATAATTATGTACATAATTTCTCTATCTAGTGGTAGAGAAAACAGAGGTCTTGGAAGGTATTTAAGAGAATTAAAAAGCTGGATCCCAACATTTTTATATGATAGCCCATTTTGAGTTAAATATATTTGAAAGAAGAGTTTCGTCTATGTATGTAATTTATTACCATGGAAGATTTCAAAAGGTGGGAATTAAAGTAGATGCACTAATGGTTAGTTAAAAGTAACAAATTTAAATGATTAGATATTGCTTTCTTTGAAGGAGAACCAGTAAGTAACAAAGTAGTAAGCTTTGTTTCTGAGGATTATGGGGAAGACTTTCCCCATTATGTTTTAAAAACAAAGGGACACCTGTCAAATGGAGTATAGTATTTACTCTTAACCACACTGAAACAGTAGTACAACTGCAAGAATAATACATTATTTGCATACTAAATGGGAGGGGCCACTATGAATGCTTTCAGATGCTACATGACTACATCCTGATTGAAAGATTTTGCTTCCCCAACCCAATGCCCTCCAGACATGTCAGGCTAAAACTCCCATTATCCCTAGACAGCATAGCAGGTGCAAGGAGCCCCACTGACAAAGCATCTTAGCTCCAGTGACAAAATGTCAGCCCACAAGCAAGTTGAGGAACAGGGCAAGGAGAAGGTACATGCAACATACCAATCCCTTTTAGTATGTGCACTGATTACTCTAGATAATCTCCACAGACAGACAGACAAGGGAAGCTCTTGCAATCTGGTTCTCTCTCTCTCTGACAGTAGCATGCAGCACAACAGCATTTATTTAATAATCTTTACTGCTAATACACAAAGTCTCTGGGCATACACTAAGTGAAATGCTGAACCCTACCTACTCTTCATTGTCCAAAGCTTCCCTTATGAACCCTTCAATGTGCTAACCCTGAAGGAAGGGCACTGTGGAAGCAGGCACATTGGCACTCCTCCCTCTGTACTTCCAATGGGCTTTGTGATGACTCTGGTGCCAAGCCAAGGGGTTGAGGACTGCAGGCTCCCTGCTGGATGAGCTGGCCATTTCAGCATCCTGCCCTGTGGGTGGTACCTTGTCACTTTGCTCAGGCTCAGGTTGCTCTGAGACTGCCTCCATTTCTACGTCCTGCTCTGGGGGTAGTTAGTCTTCAACGTTCCCAGGAGAGAATTGCTGCAGTTGCTCAACTGTCCTTTTACTAATCTCTCCCTGTGGCAACTTCTGTCTGCCCCCAAAACCTTGAGGTTGGACCATCTGCCAAACAATCTCCCCTTGAATCTCAGAATCTGAATCCTCATGCGAATGGGCACTGAGTGCTTCATGCAAGCACACCTGAGCTTTGGCAGGGCATGTGCACATGACAGAAGCTAGGAAACAGGCACAGCAAGATAGCAAAATTCCCAGAGGGGTAAACTCGTGTTGACTTCTACTTGGAAACTAAATTTCAGACAGAAAAGCAAGCACAAACTTCCAGCTCTTGCTGCACACATTTAGACCAAATCCCTAGTAAATTAAACTCAGGCTTAAAAAGTAGGGAGGAAAGAAACACCCCACCTAACAGTTGGGAGCTAAATTCCAGTGGGAAAAGCCAGCAGGAACCTCCAGATCCTGCTGCCTACATTTAAACCAAATCCCTAGTAAACTAAACTCAGACTGCGAAAGGGAGAGGAAAGTATTATATAACTCTGTCCTCTCTAGAGCCACTGTACAGGTCTAGTACTGAAAGAGACTGCTTAAAAACATCAGGGAAGGCTAGCTTCAGTTTGGGCCCTTTGTGGATCAGGTTTTTAGAGTTAAATCCCAGGTCTGAGAGGGATTCTACGGGAATCCCGGGTTTGAGAGGCCACCTATCACTCAGATTTGGATCATGCACCAAGTAAGTTGGAACACAAACAAAAGAGCCCTTAACTAATCACCTACCTTTGTCTGTTGATTGTGACCCCATTCTCTACTGAGTAGACATCCCCATTCCCAGAGGAGACAAATGACTAACAATAAGCATTCATTTACTACCAATCACTGGAAGCTAGAGCAAACCAAGAGATCAGCCACAGTCTTCCTTGTGTTTCAAACAAGACCCTCCAGTCAGAGTGGTTGCTGCAGTAGTTGGACCAGCCCACCTAGAGCTATATAAGAAGGCAGACTTGTGAGGTAATTAGCTCTTTGAGACTGATGAAGTATTTCAGCCCACAAATGAATCAAAAGGTCAAGTTTGGGAACAGGGTAAGGCAGTCAGAATACAGGAGTCTGCTGCCTTTTCTAGTCAGGTGGTAGTAGACTAGCAGTGCAAGCAACCGCTGAAAAGTAAATCCACTGCCCTCTCCCATTAAAATAAAGAAACTCAATAAAATTCAAAATCCCCTTGGTTTTTCAGGTGACCAAACCCACTTATACTAATTAAACCAGTTATGAAGGTAGGAAGCCCGCAGGGTGTGAGCGCTATCCAGTGTTGCACTGACTGCCACATGTATGACTATCTGCCAACTGGTCAAAAGTTGTGAATGTGTTCTCAGTGGAATGAGCTCTTGGCTTTCAGGAAACATATTTATTCCCTTGAATCAAAGGTTGCTGACCTAGAAAAACAGAGAGGTGGATGATGAGACCCTGGGAACCAATTAGCAGGGCCCCAACTCTTGGGTGGCAGCTTTTCTGTGGTCATGGAAAAAGGGGGTCTCGGGGAAGGAGGGCATATTTATGAGGAAGAGGGAAATGATCCTTCAGAAGCACACCATTTCTTGCAAGGTGAGCATGTATCATCTTGCACTGAGGATGAACCTCTGCAGGGTGGGGGGCTTCTGCTAGTGGGAGATTCATTCATTAGAAACATAGATAGCTGTGTTAACAATGGATGTGTGGACTGCATGGTAAATTGCCTGCCTCCAGGTATCACCTGTCTAGACAGCCTTGTAGATAGTGTGGGAGTGGTCATTTTCCATATTGGTACCAGTTATGTGGAGAAATGTAGTCATGAGGTCCTGGAAGTCAATCCTAGGTTTCTGGGTAGAACTTTGAAAACCATGACCTCCATGCTGGAGGAAAGAGCCGCCGCATGGGCAAGTGAATGCAGGCAGACGCGCGCGGCCACGACGTCGACGGCAGCCAGCTCCACCGGTCAGCACAGGCGCACGCGGCACCGGAGAGTGCTGCCCGCTGGCCCAGGTGATCAGGCGCATGCGGTGCGCGACAGGGCGGGACTCGGAGGCGCCCTGCCGACACAAAGCAGCGGCCGCGGCCGGGGCCGGCGGCCTCGGGGCGGCGACCAAAGGGGGTCGCCGCCGTTTGGGGTGCCGTTCGGGGGACGAGAGGGGGGCTGGGCTGGCCAAGGACTCTTGTTGAAATAGGCTTGCCTACTGCTGAATCTTAGGGAAGGGGAAGGATTTTTTTCCCCCTTTCTTTTTCTTTTTATCGTTCTTTTTTCTCCTCTTTCGACCTGCTTTATAATTTTACCCTGCTTTAATCAGTGCTTTGAGACATCCCTGGCCATGTCGAAGTTTATATATCCTGGGGATCACACGGCCGCTGCTATTGGCGTGGTCACGGGCAATGGTCGTTACAGCAGTAGGGGCTTAACGTGTCCACGTAGAAGAAGGATGGACAGATGGCTGACACCTATCCCTCCTTCTGGTTCTGCCCCGCGCCAGGTAGCCTTGTCAACCACCCCTCAGGCCTGACGGTGCTGCTGCTCAATGCCAGGTCGGTCAATAATAAATCTTCCCTCATCCATGACTTGATTGTGGATGAGGGGGCCGACCTGGCTTGCATAACGGAGACCTGGGTGGGAGAGGGAGGGGATGTTGCCCTCTCCCAATTGTGCCCGCCCGGGTATCTGGTTCAACACTGTTCACGCCCAGAAGGGAGAGGAGGGGGAGTCGCGTTGGTTTGCCGAGCCTCCATTTCTCTCACGGGTCTTCCGGTCCCTTTGAGACCAGGGCTGGAGTGCCTCTACTTGGTGTTGGGCGAACGAGACAGATTGGGGATTCTATTGGTGTACCTTGCACCCTTCTACCCAGCAGTCTCCCTATCTGAGCTGACAGAGACCGTCTCGGACCTGGTGTTGAGGACCCCCAGGATGTTGGTCCTGGGGGACTTCAATCTCCATGCCGAGTCTGGACTGACCGGGGCGGCTCAGGACTTCATGGCCTCTATGACGGCCATGGGCCTGTCTCAACACGTCATCGGCCCGACCCATGAACGTGGACACACTCTGGACCTGGTTTTCTCGACGGGGCAGGAACAGGATGACCTGAGGGTGAGGAACTTATGTTTGACTCCCCTGTCATGGTCAGATCACCTCCTGGTGAGGTTTGTGCTCGAGAGTGGCCTCTCCCTCTATAAGAGTGCGGACCCGATTGTATGGGCCCGCCCCCGGAGCCGGATGGATCCGGATGGATTCCTGAAGGCCCTGGGGGACTTTCCAGCTGACAAGACTGGTGCTCCTGTCGAGGCTCTGGTCGAACTGTGGAACGGAGAGATGACCAGGGCCGTGGACACGATCGCTCCCAAGCGTCCTCTGCCACCGGGCAGAGTCCGCTCTTCCCCTTGGTATACACCTGAATTGCGGGCGATGAAGCGGGTTGGGAGACAACTGGAGTGTAGGTGGAGGAAATCACGGGATGAATCTGCCCGAACACACTTGAGAGCCCACTATCGGGCCTATGCTGTGGCGGTGAAGGCGGCGAAAAAGAAGCTTTTTTCCGCTTCCATTGCCTCCTCACAATGCCGTCCAGCGGAGCTTTTTCGAGTGGTACAAGGCCTGGTTCGCCTGGGTCCTAAGGAAGATCCAATGCCACCCTCAAAGGCCCGCTGTGACGACTTTGCCAGGCATTTCAGGGAGAAAATCGCTCAGATTCATCACGAGCTGGACTCCACTAATGAATCAGAGGTTTCTGGGGAGGCGCCAATGCTACCGTCTGGTCCAAAATTGTTGGAGGAATTT